CACAGTCTCCGGGAAAATGACATTTATGTACGTGAAAAGTTGACTATTCTCTTAGGTAAATAATAAAAGCGTTCGTTATCAAATTTACTCTGGTGCGTTTGTGCTTCTCCTGATGTTTCAAGGGCGAAAAAACAGAGTTCTGAATATAAGAAGTATGGAGCGCTAAAATAAATTTTTCAGTATAGTCTTGAAAACCACCAAGAGAACTGAAGTGTCAAAAATTCAAATACAAGTAATTAATGCGTAGTCTAGTATAATCAGCGTAAATTCCCATTTTTTTCTCTTTCGTTCACTTCGCGCTATTAATCTTGGTAAAGGCATGAAACCTCCTTTCTTTAGGTACGTCTTAAAATAGCATGGAAAACTCACACCATGACCCCTGAGGGGACAACCATTTTAGAAAAAAATATTTTTTTAATATTAGTGTTGTAGATTCTTAAGAACAAAAATTATGTATAAATTCACTTACATCATATGTTTAAGTTTTATTCCAATTCTGATCATCGCTTTTTAAAAGAATAAAAATTGCCGAAGAGTGAACGTAGTGAAAATAATAGCGGTGCTTTTGACGTATTCCGGCCATGATTGCCCATGATTGTTAACCATTTCATGGTCAAACAATGTTCTTCCTGGGTATGATGATAAACTATATCCGGCAGCAAGATCTGATCGGAATGTTTTGATACCACCTTTTAATTGCAGTTGTTCCCGGGTCCACCCTGACCCGTGGTGGTAGCACCTGTTAGGGTCCCAGATATGGCAAATAGTTAATCACATAATTCACATAAACTGATCCGTTTAGGTGAAACCTCGGTAGGATTACCTGCCTCCTTAGGATTATCTTAGGTTTTGCTCTACTTCGTGTATTGAGCACTTTACGTAGTTGCCTTTTACTCGTTTTGGAGGTTTTTCTTTGGAATTTGAGCTTGAAGTGTGGACAGTGGTTTTCGCCTTAGTTTGATGTTCTTGGTTCTTTCGTTTTTTATTGCTCATTTTTCTTTTGTTAACGATTTGTTTTACTACAAGTCGAAATATGGAAGGTTTTTTAAGCGAGTACCACCATTTTATATATATATATATATATATATATATATATATATATATATATATATATATATATATAAATCAGAAATCAGCTTCCTATAACTGATATATTTTGAACGGCAACATATTCTTTACCACAATACCTGTTACGTTACAGATGCGCCTCCATTTTGATTACATTTGAAAATAGTGAGTGAAGACGAAAAAGCGGACTACTGTCTCTTATTTACAGCGCATAAATTTCTTCTTAAAAATATTAATTATGTTTGTTTTTCTTGGAAACTTTAGCATATATTCGTTTTTTTTTTAAAATTGAAAATCGTAATGTGTTTTCCCGCAGACATATGGAATAAGATACATTAAATTTTATCTTTGATATTGGATATTGAGAAATATTGTATCTTAGTTTAGATCACGAGGACGGCAAAATAAGTAAATAAATATGAACCCTTTCTGTTTATTTGTATGTATTCACCTTTGATACTTGCAAAATTCTAATTTCACTGTGTTGCAATTGAAACTCTTCGTGGCATAGGGTGTTATAGCTATACCACGAGGTGTTGCAGTTTCCAAGCAAAAGATTTATACATGTGTAAATAAACTTAGAATAACGGACAATATTTTTTCTTGCTGCAAAGGTTATTTGTAGAGGACACCAGTATTTGAGTAGACGCCTAGTTTTATTTTACACAGCATTTGTTTCGACTACCGAACTGCACACTTAAGCAAACTTTTGAAAGGAAATCTGTCTCCCCGGCATAATTACTATTTGTGTCTTCCTTTGCAAGAGATTATGAGGCGGTTTCTCCTACAAAGAGGAATGCAGGTTCACATCCTACCGGGGGTACTTTTACTTTAATATGATTTCTCTAAAAATAACGTTTGAAGTAAAAAAGATAAAATCTATTTGATTCTTAGAAGTAATATATATATATTATGAAATGGTCAAAGTCAGACAATTATTTTAAAACATGTTTTTTATGTTTATATGTTCTTTTTATAGATGCAAATATTTAAGTAAATGCTCTGTTTATAATAGATAGTATTAACGACATTTACCGGCCTGAATGTCCGAGAAATTGTCATAGAAAATATGCGTCCTCCGAAAGGAATCGAACCTGTATCCTATACGGAACCGTCACGTAATTTACCGATTGAACCACAGTGGAGCGTTTCGGTTAACAAAGTAGATTTTACTGTTTTTAAACTACAATTCTCCATGATTTTCTCTCGTACATTCATACCTGCTCGATGCGTATCCAAATGTAAACAAAGACGTCAGAGATTAGGAAATGGACAAAGTCCGACAATTAAATTTTAAAACATTTTTTATGTTTATACGTTCTTTTTATAGATACAAGTAAATGCTCTGTTTATAATAAACAGTATTAACGATATTTAATGGCCTGAATGTCCGAGAAATTTTAATAGAAAATATGCGTCCAGGCCTGTAAATGTCGTTAATACTGTTTATTATAAACAGAGCATTTACTTAAATATTTTTATCTATAAAAAAAGCGTATAAACATAAAAATGTTTTAATATATATATATATATATATATATATATGTGTGTGTGTGTGTGTGTGTGTGTGTGTCTGTTTGTGTGTGTGTGTGAGAGAGAGAGAGAATGACTATGAACCATAGTATTTATGGAAGATACCGTTTTTAAGGCAAGCATTCTTTGCAATTAAAGTGTTCGCTATCAAGAGATGGAACATTCATAGTAATAAAATAAAACCAGTTACCTTTAACTCCTGAAAATAAAAATAATTAGTTTTCACTATTAAGAATGCGCAGAGATAGCATCCTCTCTTCAGGAGAGTTGATCATAAAATCGAAGAAACAGCCATGTCTCCTGACGAGTGAAATGAAGCCTGTATCTTGTAGCGGACCGCTGGCTTACGTGTTGTTAAATTAGGAACACGTGTGTAAGTCCCGATAGAATAAAGTCCACTACATAAATATGAAGGACTCAAGTTGAGTCAAACCAAAAAAATGTAAAGAACATATATACAAACAAGTATATGTATTAAACAACAAAATTTACAATGGACAAAGACATTAGCAGTTCGTACTTTGAGGAATATTCGCACGTATGCTTATGTGTCTATAAGGTCCATAGCGCCTCTCACAAATGGGAAGACGCAATCTTCTGCGAGAGATTATATTGTAGATTTGTTCGCAGAAAATGAAGAATGAAAAAGAGAACGAGGCAAGAAATCGTCCAGTATTTATAATGTAACGAGAGCGCCCCCTAGTAAACAATATGGGCAATTAATGAGGAGTTAACCCCGACAATAAACCCCGCTCCAGATAGACAGGAAATATTTTCTGGTTATATGAAAAGTTAATGGAAATTTTGAATATTTTCCTTGTGAACTGAAAAGAAAAGGTGTCGGTAGAGATGCGTGTTAAAACGTTTCAACGAAATGTGCTCGTGCTTTCATCGGGGGGGGGCTGTGGTTATTCGAGTTGAATGTAGGACGCTCTGAAAAAATTACGCATGTGTGGAGCAATGTTGTGTCTCATGAGAGTGCTATTAGTAATATTCGTGCTATTAGTAATATTCGTGTTGAATGTGTCGCACTCTCTGGAAAATGTGTAGAAGCAATGTTGCAGAAAAGTTGAGCTGTCCCCTAGTGGACAATTTGGACAATTAAGGAGAAGTTAACTCTTCGAACCTTGCCGCAAATTAAAACTGTCCAAAATAACAGAAACCACATTTAATTTTAGAGTTCTAACAGCAGCAACAACGAAAAACAGTACCAAATGTAACCTGAAGAGTAAATAATGACAACATATTTTATATTCTATACTAATAATTCAAATAGAATGTTAGGAAGAAAATCACCACCAATACTGGAAAGAGCTATAACAGTTACTAGACTTGAGAAAACAGCTTTCCTAAAGAATGTTTTAAGAGGACGATTATAAACATCAACCGACTGCAATACTGGCTGCTCAGTCAATGAATGTCAAATATTTCCTTATATGGAAATGGAGGATATTACAATTTCCATTATCATACTCGACTTCAGCTATGGTGCCGGCATCACGAAGCTCAACAGATGACATCAAATAATATAACGCTCCATTCTGAGCATCAGATTTGAAGAATTATTGATCACCAAAGTAACGAGAACATGGAGATTGTTGACGTTCCACAATCTCACATCATTACTGAAAAGAGTCTTAAGAGTTATTGGATTGAGAAACCTATTTTACTGAAAAATTGTTTTAATAAAAAATTAAATTCAATATAATCTTAATAGAAAGATTTTATAAATTTAACTTGAAGTGTCAGTGGCTGCTTACTTATTGAATGACAAATGTTTCATGATAAGGAGCTAACAATAGGATTATAATTACCATTTACCCTACAACATTACGAGCATTTTCTTTTGTCTGACCACTTCTTTGCTGCAAATTCTTTTATAATTACCAAATCTTTTAATGATGTACGACTGTAAAGTTAGTCTACGTTGGGTGAACATTCTCTTAATTTGGTTCAATTGAATCATTTTTGATAAATTCTAAAATAGTCTGCTTTGAATTATGTGAATATATTCCTCAGGTTTAAATCGTGTTTATTGTGTGTTTGAATTATGTAAATATATTCTCCAAATATAAATCGTGTTTGCTGTGTCTTTTCCACGAATTTATTACACTAATCTAAATATATCTTTGATCGATTATTTCTTTTCATACGGCTTACGAACAATTTGCAGGTCATTTAAAACTATTGGGAAATAATTTTTTTTTTTAGATTCGGCAAGATAATAAGTTTAGTGTTACAATTTTTACTAATTAACCCATATATGAGGGGAGAATAGGTGGATTCATACTTTTCCCAAGGGTTATATCAAGCGTGGCTAGCGAAGCCAATTAGAATCGGAGCTCGTCTGTCCGATTAACAAGTCCGTGATGATGATTCATTACAAGATCCAAGTTTATATCACCTGATATTCCCAAGCGGTCACCCATCTAGGGACTGACTCGGCTCGACGTTGCTTAACTTCGGTAATTGTACTGGAACTGGCGTTTTAATGTGATGTGGCCTAAATATATCTTGACACTATCATTAATGAATCTACTTCTTATTGTAATGCCAAAAATTCTACTGTAAAACATGTCGCCACTTTTTATCTTCTAATCCAGGTTAATTGACTTTTTCAAGGAAGAGAGAAAACTTTTGTTTACCCATCAAGGTAGCTCCATATTCACCATTAAAAAAAATGACAACTGCGAAACCGAATCTTCGTGTAATTCTTCAAAAAATTCGAATATTTCACTTTGTTTAGCGGCAAATCAATTCCTCATGGGTCATTTAAAGCCGAAATTTAATTTTATTGGTAGCATAAGTAATTGCTTTTACAAAAAAAAAAAAGAAAGAAAGAAGCATTGCTGTCATTTTTTGTTTTTCAAAATCTTATTACTGGTAATGTTTTGCTATGATAAGAATTTCTGGTATTTTTACTGTAAAAATGTATTTTATACTATAAATGTATTTAACTATAAAATATATTTTATATATATATATATATATATATATATATATATATATATATATATATATATATATATGAAGAAAAATAAACTGAAAAACACAAACAAAAATCCTAATATGCGATTATGCTGTTTTAATGTTTAATGTCAACGTCGGACGTTTCGGTCTAATAGACCATCTTCAGGACATATTCATAAAACATAATTAACATAGACCATATACAATTCAACATGAAAAAAACGATGGACATAAAAGCAATACCAATCCAAACAGATAACTGAAATCTTTTATAAGATCAGCGTTCCGTTTAAATATGATCACGTCGTCATCACGTGGGCGACGTTGTGAAAACGTATTCCTAAATTTTGAGTATTTTGAATGAAAAACGAAAAGAATCTTATTTTGATCTAAAACTTATATGTACGTTTGTCGAGCATTAATCTTGCTAGAAAAGGGGAAATATTAAAGAAGCCAGGTCTAGTGTTCACCGTGCGTGATATAGATATTATGCCTGCTTCATAAATCCGCCTAAGATTTTTATTATGAAAATATATACACGTTTTTACATTCATTAAAAAGAAGAGAGAAACCGCAAACTTTTTTGGTTGCAATGAGGATTTTTTAAAAATATATATTATATTTTGTTTTACATAATTTTTTAAAAATATATATTATATTTTGTTTTCCATAATTTTGCTACACGGGTTTCCGTTCTCGCGACCTTCTTCAGGCAAAGTGTGGATATTTCCAGATATTATTAAAATAAATTAATAGGCACTCTTTGCCTGAAGAAGGCCGTGAGACCGGAAGCTCGTGTAGCAAAATTACTGAAAATAAAATATAATAGAATAATATTTATTTTAAAAAAAATCCACATTACAATGAAAAACGTTTGCGGTTTGTTTAATTAAAGACCACCGACACAGTACTGCGGTTAAGCATTTTATTCAATTCTTATTGTATTCGTATAAGTGATTTCTTTTCGGGATATAAAGTGTGCAAAACTGTTCAAATCTTACTTATTATAAAATGCAGATTGTGTGTGTGTGTGTGTGTGTGTGTGTCTGTACGTTTATATATTGGATCGGATTTCCTACATTTTTCAACCGATTTCAACAAAACTTCACAGGACTGCGTAAAATTACCTTGGGGTGGTTCTGACAGCGCCAAAAATTGGAAAAACAATTGTTTTTGCACGAAATCAATTTGAAAACACGATTCTGTCGCCAGAATGAAAGTGGGACATCTCATATCGAGTTATAATTATTATAAAACCCAGGTTGTTTGTGTGTGTTCATTTATATATGGGATCGGATTTCCTACATTTTTCAACCGATTTCAACAAAACTTCACTTTTTTTTTGGCAGGTAGTGTTTCTTATTGTCTTGCGCACTTTTTTCTTTATTTTTACATTCAGAATGCTTTAAAAATTTCATTTACAAGACAATTGTTTATAATAAAATTCTATTCAATCGGTAGACTCATAACGATTGAAAACAATGTTTTTCTTTGGGATTGACCAATTCGTAAAAAAAAAACCCCCAAAAACTAATGAAGACATGCGTGTCCGTCAACCTTAAACAATAATCTTTGTCAATTTTATTTTTCAGTCTTTATGATGGTCGATACTTGATCTATCTCTTACTGTTACATCCCCGGGCAACGCCGGGCTCTACAGCTAGTATTCTACAAATCCCAGCACTTTCGGTTTGCCTTTAGCCATTTTCAAGGTTTTAATTTTTTTTTTTTAACTGAACGTGTCCATGTTTCTATATGTAACTGGAGTGATATGAACTTTTATTTCTTATTATTTTCCAAACATTTTTTTGGATGACGGTGCGAGTATATTATATTATTTTTTTACGAATGTGTTGCGAATGACGTTTGGTAGGTTTCTACATCTGTTTAAATGTGTCCTAATTGAACTATGGTCAGAGATATCTAATTTGAACCCTGCATGTTATGCCCAGAAAAGAAAACACTTTTAGGAACACAAGAAAACAATATAAAAATCTCAATCGCAGTACTTTGTCAGTCGCCTTTAATGCAACTTGTATAAAAGAGGGATTGCTCCCAAATACACAATAGGTATATCTAAAAATTTTACTAACAGCGTTAAAAATCTACATAAATACATTCGCATACATATACGTATACGAAGTCTGATCAAATGTATCAGGACTGGTACCAGAAGCTACAAAACATATCAATTTGATATTTAATCTCAGTCGAATTAGTCCCCTTCTGAAGCGACTCACTTCATATAGTGTTCTCTCCCTCCAATGAAGAGTTATTTGAATTCTCTTCTTGGGATAGCGAGCAACGTTACATTCTCTTGTATTTCTTTGACGTCTTGAAATTTTGTTCGTTTCAAGTGGGATTTGATACTTGGAAACAGGAATAATGAGAGATATCTGGTGAATATGGTAGTTGTCAGACTTAAGGAATGTTGTAGTTGGCCCAAAACTGCTTCACAACCATGGCTACTGGCGGAACGTCTATGCTTTCGTGAGGCGATCACACTCTACACACATGCATTCCAAACACTGCTATAAACAATGTAAGTGAGCGAGAAGGTTATAACATAGTGAGCATGCGCGACAGAGTTCAAGGTCAATCTGCGCTAGGTGGTTTTACTCTACACGCTTTGGTAGAGTTACCAACACGCTTTGGCAGAGTTTGGCTGCAGTCGCGATACGTTTTTGAAATTAAAATTTTTTCCGGCATTATTTGGTTAATACCAGTGTTATTGGGGAAAACTTGACTTGCTTAATAAAATCTGACAGAATTTACATGGGAAAATGTTTTTGTTTATTTTCTCTTCGATTTTCTTAATCGAAAAAGAAGCAAATAACATTTCGTGATTCCTTAATCGATATTTTGATATTCAAAAATTGTAATAATCGTCTTTTCCATGTAGACATATGGAATATGATACTCGAACGGTTCAATTTCAAACCGTCTTTTTAAAAAAGATTATGCGTTAGTAACTTCAAATGTTGTTTTTTATAGGCGTATATATTTGCACAGGGGGAGCGTTAGATTGCTATCCAGTTCACTTTTCAATTTACAGAACTTCACACACACACACACACAAACACAGAGGCATATACATCTATATATATATATATATATATAAATATATATATATATATATATATATGTGATAGAATTTAGGAAGATTTGAGATAATTATAATTAAGTCATTCATCGAGTCTAGAAGAAACCTCAACAGATTGTAATAAAGCACTGGGCGGCCGTTTCGTCCTATATTTGGGACTCATCAGCAGTGTGCATCCACTACCGAGAATTGAATATATATATATATATATATATATATATATATATATATATATATAAGTGCGTAGGTATGCAGAAAATAGAAAAGAAAACGTTAAGTGCATAATCCGGGGTTCCTTAGTATTTTTGTTTTATTTTTAAGAAGACAGTGCTCCATACACAAGTAGAGCTTATATTATAATAATATTTTTGTTTAAAAATATGATTCCTTCACAGGAATCATATTTTTAAACAAAAAAATTATTATTATATATATATATATATATATATATATATATATATATATATATATATATATATATATCCAAGTATATAATTGGTATATACGGAATGAATTCCAATAACCAACAATTACTATTCTTAAAAGAGTGCTCAATACAAAGTAGAGCAGATATAATTATTATTTATAAATAAATTATAATTATTATTTATAAAAAAATATAACATAAGTAAAAAGGTTTTATCTTCAACATCATCACTTGATAAGACACCGAGGGTGTTGAAACAAAATGGCTATTTTTGTAGTGATTTTATAACATACTTATGTTATAATTTTTATAAATAATAATTATATATATATATATATATATATATATATATATATATATATATATATAAGAGGATATTGAACTAAACGCCCAGGGCAACAGTCTGTTTCATGCTAAACACAATCGTCTGTCCAAGTAATGTGAAAGTAATGTAAATAAATAAGTAAATAAAGTAAGAAATAATAGACAACTTTACAAACCACGCCCAACAAGATAAAAGGTAGAATAATACAACCGACTACCCACAAGGCCATACATTACCCACAATGCATCACTGGCCTGTATATATAAAAGTTGAGCAGAAACACAACGCACGTGGCTTCACGATTGCATTTAGCATGAAGTAGACTGTCGCCTCTGGATGTTGACTTATACGTCCACTTTTACATTTACATATGTTCTATCCCTGGTATTGAACACATTGACTCATAAATTTAGAATAACTTAAAACTATATTTTATTATATATATATATATATATATATATATATATATATATATATATATAATGTAATTTTCAGAATGTTTCAAAAATGGAAGCTAAAAACTTTAAATTTAAGTACATAATTAAATTAAAAGCATTTAGTCTAGCAAATAATCAAGATTGCTTATTGATTAACTCTTTGGGGACCTGGCGGTGTTGGCAGCGGCAGTTACGAGGACTATGGACATCTTCCATTTGAAGGGCTAGAAAG